CAAAGCAGAGTGGCACATAGCAGAGGAGCAACTGTTCATGGCAGCAGAAAATATCAAAAACAACAAGAGCAAAAAGGGACGCATGTGGATAGAAGATTCTTTCTGCTTCTCATATTATATGTAGGCCGTCTACCCTGGGGTGGGTGTAGCACTCACACCCATAATCACAGCATTGGACTTTGAATCAATCACAAATCCTAGAAGCCTGCCCCATGCCTGTATGAGGCTTTGGGGGGACCAATCACAAACCATAACACAGCCTGAAAAGACACAAAAATCAAGGGGAATAGATATGGAAAAATACTGCAAACTGTGTCCTCAGGCTTCAGCTGTGCATGGACTGGTCAGTATTCAGAGTGACCAGAGCAGCGCTTTTAGTATGTGATCCCTTTAGAGTGAGCTGTCGAGTCCAAGTAAATTTTTCAGCAGCTCTGATGCTAAATTTTTGAAACTTGTAGAGGCAGTTAATATATACCTGGGTTATATGTGTGTGAAATACAAACTGTTTTTTAAATAACTTTTTAGAGCTTTGTGGCCTGCATGGTGTACATCGTTTTTATTTAGTTTTAAGTTATCTCTCTTACAAACACAGGCTCACTGTCACTGCCAGTCATCAAGGGTAGGCCATATGTAGGGATGATTTTTTTTTTTTGTAGGGATGATTTTTTACAGCAACACCCTACAAACTTTTATTGTATTCTCAGTATGGATAGGGAATTGGAGGTTGGGGCCAGTGACACAGTTGCTGAAACCTGAGCTGTCTGTAGGGGGATAGATGACAATGCAGTGGCTTGAGCTTGCAGAACATATGGTAAGGGCAGGTCTGGTGGCTGGGGCTGATGTTTCAGATCACCAGAGGGAGGTTAGAAATTGGTGTCATTGGTGGCAGATTTCCAAATAGCAGCAGGAAACAATATCAGGAAAGCTTTGACTAAAATAACTTTGTCCAAAGTAACTGCAGCATATCTAGACTGCCAGGCTCCATTCTTAACAGAGATACTTCCATCCATAAACAAGGTGTACTCAGCATCTGTCAGGGGGTCTGTTTTTTAGAACAGTTTATTTCAATACAGCATGTGGCACCTAGACAGCTAGATCTCTGTCCAACTTGAGCTTTCTTGATCAGAAGAACAGTAGCTATTAGAGCATAAAGGCAAAGAGGGGAGGCAGTCCACAACAACCAGACCGACCACAACAATCAAGTATTTGTACAGGTAGGCCACTGGGTGATCCCAGGGCCTGACAGTCTGACCAAGCATCAATTTTGTGAACTCAAGAATCTAGATTTTGGGGCTGGGGATTTAGCTCAGCGGCATAAGCGCCTGCCTTGCAAGCAGGCAGTCATGAGTTCGATCCCTGGTACCGATAAAAGGGAAGAAGACAAAAAAAAAGAATCTAGATTTTATACAAGCCAACAGCTCTAAGAAATTTGTGGAGTTTTTTTTTTTTCTTGTAATCAGTTTCTGCCAGATATTGTAGCAGTGCTTTTGTGCCTTTCCAGCAGGTAACCTGGGTATCATCAATCAGAAGTGTGAACCTCTGGGAGGTTAACTCCAGGTCAGGTTAACCTTTGAGTCCAAAATTGGAGTATTTGCGAAAAGGGGCTGGCTGACAGGAGCCAATGATTGCAGAAGAAGGCATTCTTAGGTCCAGGCAGGTGTACCAGCAGTGTGAGTGACAGAAGACAGAAGCAATGTATACAGAGAGCAATTGTAGAGGCATTAGCAGCATGGAGATTTTGAACTTGCTTTACAGACAGAAGAGATATATGTTAGCAGTTTGATAGTCTACAAACCTTTTCCAGTTTTGAAACATAAAATTAAGAGTTTAAGGACCACATACTGAAGAAGAAAAATGATTAAACATTACTCTGACAAAGAAATTGGGAATACTGAACACTGAAAGAAAAAAGGGCTTGGGAAAAGAAAGAGAAATCCATTAATTTCCAAATAATAAAGAGATGTCAGCATTGGCAACATAGTCACAGAGTTCTTGAATTTGTATTAAGATATGGAAATAAAAGAAAAAGAGCTTCATGTTTTTCAAAACAGAAAAATTATATGCCAAAGAATTTGATATGGATAAATAGAAATCCAGAAAAAAGCATCAACTGCAGAATGGATAGGAAAGGTATAATATTAAAAATAAAATCAATGGAAAACCACTCAGCTATAAAGGATAACCTTGAGGCTCTTGTAAGTAAATGAATGCAGCTTATCATGCTCATGAGTGAAATAGTTTGGACTCACATAGGTGAACACTGTGTTGTCTTCCTAGTATAAAAAACTGAAGGAGTTAGAGGGATCCAAAATCTGCAACAGGTATTGTGAAGGTGAAAGGGGAGGAAATGTCTAAAGTCTAATGTCTAATGTTTTGAAGTCCTGTATCATTTTGTTTGTTTGGTTTGGTTTTATTCTGTTTTGTTAGATTCTATTATATCTGATGGTATGGGCAGCTATTTTCAAGATAACATGAAACATTATGGTAGCCATTGTTGATTTTCTATTATCTTGTTTTAAAGGCCTGTATCACTCATTGTTTTGCTTTGATTGGCTTTATTCTGTTTCAGTTTGTTTGGTTTTATTCTCTTTAAAATAAAATAAATGTCTCATTATAGTGGAAAATGTAATATATACTCAAGCATTTAAAATTCGTATAGTCATTGCATAGTTGGGTGAATGTCATATTTCTATTTTGAAATACTTATTTTATCATGTCTCAAAATACATAAGTGTATTAAATACTGCCTATTATTGGAAGATGATTCAATAAATTTAAAAAATTTTATACTTGAAAGCAAAATATGCTGAATCCCATCAAACAGCTCCAACTTTGGTGTGAAAAGAACAGTAAGAATCACAGCTACTTCTGAGGTGGAAATGTCAAGAAATACCACTGAATGCTCTCAATAATAGAAAAAATTAATAATCTATACAACTTTTAACCCAGTATCTGGGAATCTACTGTAAAGAAATTAAATTACCAGCACATAAAGAAACATGCATATAGTTGCACAAAACAATGTAAAAAACAAAAAGCTAAATGTATATTACTGGTGTGGTAGTCACAAAAATAATTTCTTTTCTTCTGTAGATGCATAGATGTCTTTGTTCTTTTGAGGTTAGGAGTGTGCAGGAGTCTCTGAGGCCTGTAAATGCCAGGGACAGTGAGGCCCTATCTCCTGGGTAGGTGCTGCTCCCATGTCCCTGCCCACCTGGGAATGGCTGTGGAATTGGGGGCCAACCTAAGGCAGACTGGGAAGTTGAGTAAGTAAGTAAGCTATGTGTCTCATCTTCTCCATGGGCAAAGGAAGGAGGTGTTTTGGGGAAGATAGGGCCTGTGCCTTTGGAAATGTTACTCTGGTAGAATCAGGTCAGACGGCAAGGAATGAGCTTGATAGTATCTTCACAAAGATACTGAGACTAAAAGAGAAAAAGAAGATTAATAGTTTATAGAATTACTCTAGCTTGTGTAAGAAAACTAAGGAATGTTTCTCTATTTCTAAAATAGGTTATAAAGAAAAGCCTACGACTGGCTCTTGCTATGTTGTTCAGGCTGTCCTTGAGTTCACTATTTTAGCCCAGACTGGCTTTGAACCCACAGCACTCCTGCCTCAGTCTCCATGCTGCGGGAGCTACAAGTGTGTGCCACTATACTGAGGTTATTCACATTTACTTACAACCACAAACAAAACATTGCTGGTAACTCCATACAGTGTTTCACTGACCCCGCTGCTTTGAGGCTTGGTGCTTTGTTGGTTTTTTCTTCATCAAGTAGTTTTCACACAACTGACTGAAGACTTCTGAGGTGCCTGCATTACATATAAAATTGTAGGCCTACTGTAGGCCACCCAAAATAGAACCTTTGGGGGTTCAGTCCAGCAATGTGTGTTTTAACCTGATTTCCATGTACTTAATTTGTAAGATGTAGCCTTGTTTTGGAGGTTAAGAAAAAAAATTGAAAAATCTATCCTAGAAACAAAGTAATTTTATAGGATGGTCATTTTTCTACTGATTTGCAAATTCTTTCCTACTTTCAATTTAAATTTCCAATGGACAGATCTGTGTGGCCTACTTTGTTTGCTTTTTATTTGCAAGGCCATATGCCTACATTAACTTTCCAGATGAGGAGCCCATCTTGAATCCAGCTAACTGAAACACAATGGGTTGGGAGACCAAGTGGTAAAAAAATGGAACTAGCTGTGTTACAGGTACCCTGGGCAGTTCCTTGAAGAGGCGTATTTGGAAATATTACCTAGCTAGGTCCAGTACAATAACTTGTTCCTGAAAATTCCTTCAGGTTTATATACATACATTTTGTTATAAAAATAATGGAATGTTTCTTTTTATGATGCTTACACTTTAAAAATATAAAGCTTTGTTTAAAAATTTAATACTACTTTTCTTTGGTAGTGTTGCATGACTAGTAATTTCACTTTTACAATCTTGTCAATAATGTTTTCAGTCTTCTGAAAGCGTTTTCATCTTTTACCTGTACACAAAATTATTTTTGATAATCCTTCATTCATATATGAAAGGAAAACCCAAAAGAAAATCTTTTCTGTTCTTGTTCCATTTCTGAAAGAAAAGTTTCAAATGAAATCCCCAAATTATGTCTTCCTCTGCATTCCTATGATTACAGGCACAATTGTATCTCTACCCTAACTATAGAAATCCACAATTTAATTATTATGGTAGAGGAACTCATTCTTGCTCCCTTGAGGATCTCATTACCACCACCGTGATCTTTCTATCACTTAACATTTCATCATGGTACGTCGCACTTGAAATGTTTCAGAATGACTTAGGACGATCACCAGTCTTGAAGAAGTAGTTCCCAGGCTCCATCTCCCCCTCACTGAATTCTGGTTACACAGACCTTCTTAAAAAACTGCGTATGTTTAAAGCTGTTCATACGATTACTCAGTGAACTTCTAATAAACTAATTTCAGTAATGGAGGTGCCACAGTACATTTCTTAAAAAAAAAAGTGCCATGTTACTGACTTTCATCTCCTTTTATTTAGCACAGGTTAACATGTAACCTCCAAGTAAAACTAAACTCCAAAGTCCAGTTTTGTTGGGGAAATCCTGTGGAAGTATTTCATTAAATTTGGAACAGTAACAGTACACACCTCACAAGATCACTGCCAGGAGTAAAGCAATCTACTAATCCAAGATGCCTGGATCATTGTTGAGCATTTAGTATATGCTTAATAAATGAGGCTATTATTATTTAGGACAAAGCACATTTTCCCACATCAAGGTCTTTGTACAGTCTCTCTTCCCCTAAAGACTCTTGTCGACTAGTAGTTCAAATATCATGTCTTCTTGAAGTGTTGAACCTTCAGATTAATGTCATTTTAATACATTCTATGCTTTTCCTGAATGGCACTTAACATTATTAGTTTGTGAGGCTGATTCACAAGCATCTTTACCATCATACTATAAAGAAGCACTGAGAAATGGTTATGTTTCACTTTTTTGTCCCAAGTGCCTTGTACATATCAGGTACTTAGAACATTCACTCTTTATTCTTTCATCTAGTAGTACTATTGATTCAACTCAGGGCCTTTGCACTGAGCTGCATCTATTTTTATTTTTTGACAAGATCTTACTAAGTTGCCCAGATGGCCATCTTCTTGCCTGAGCCTCCCAGAAAGCTGGATCATTAGGCATGTACATATATAGCTAGCATATTTATTCAATATTTAATTTTGGTCAAATCCTCTAATACCATGTATAAAGCTATTTCATAACAGGTTTGCACTCTTCAGTTGAGAGGTTTGAATTTTTTGGAAAAAGTGTACTAATATTTACAAAGAATGCTCATTTTGGCTTTTCAGGTGGGATTGCACTATTCCAGGCTAGGAAGAGCTAATTCCCAACCAGCTTTTCTCTTCTATCTGAACCTCTTGCAATAGATAAACTTTGTACCTAAAGCATTTTTAAAAAGAAATCATTTCCAAAAAATATTCTTTGTTGTGCACACATGTAATCTTAGCACTCAGAAGGCCGAGGTAGGAAGACTGCTGGGCCTGCCTGGGCTACATAGTGAGCTCAAGGCCAGCGGGAACTACATAGTGAGACCCCGTCTCAAAAACAACAGCAACAAAAAACAAAACAAATATAGAAACGCTCCCAAATAACCTTCCATTCACCTTCATGTCTTGACACTTCTTTTTCGGTACCGGAAATCCTATTCAGGACCTTGCACTTGCCAGGCAGGCAATTTACACTGCTGGGCTAAATCCCTGGCTTGCCACAATTTCTATTTGTAAGTTCAGGACAGTAATAGTAAACCTATGGTACACATGCAGCAGCAGGCTGTTTGTATCACTGAAGGCTCTAAAAGGTTCATCATCACTGGTTTAGAGGATCTGATAACTGCAGAAGATTACCTGTCAGCAAGGCATGGTGACATAAGCTTGTAACACTACCATCTCAGGGATGGAGCAGGAAACTCAAAAGTTTTGAGCCCAGTCTAGGCACTTTAACCGTTTAGCAATGCTTGTCTCAAAAACAATAAAACCATAAGGAAAGAACAGAACAAAAGGGGAGAGGGCGGAGCCCAGGGGATGCAGCTCAGTGGTCAATCCTAATACTGAAGATTAAAAAAAAAAAAAATGCCTCACAAACTATTTCACCAAGATACATTTTCAGATTTCTGATCATAGTTACCTCTTAGCAAAATGCTTTTTAAAGAAAATTTATTTTAAAAGCATAATCTCTTGAAGTTCAGTTCACAAACATCACTGGACACAACTAGTTATCAAACACACTTTGAGAATTGCTAGTGTTTACCCTACAGACTAACTAGTTCATAACTCTATTAAAAATACAACACAATCTTGCTTTTTAGTGGTCTCAAAGCTCCTGGTAACCCCAGTTTTAAGAATTTATAAACCACATGTCATAATTCACCCAATAATCTTAGCAAGCGTGACTCATACTTTTTTCTTTCTCTTTTTCAGACAGGGTCTTGCTATGAAGAAGTTTGGCCTTAAACTTGCTTAAGTAGCCCAGGCTGGCCTTGAACTCAGTTAGTTATTCTCCTGTCTCAGCCTCCGAAGTGCTAGGATTATAGGTGTGTGCCACTATGCCTGGCACTCATATTACAATATGCAGATTTTACGTATTTTTTCCCTTTGAAAACCAGGACATTTGCCAATCTTTATCTTTGTAATAGTTTGTCTCAAGGCTTAGTAACAATTTATTGACATCAAATTTTTTGGAGTTGGGGGAAATTAAAATGCTGTCTTGAAAGATATGAGGGAGCTGGGCATGGTGGCACACACCTGTGATCCCAGCACTTGAGAGGCTGAGGTAGGAGAATTGTTGCAAATTTGACCAGCCTGGGCTACAAAGTGAGCTCAAGGCTATCCTGAACTGCATAAGTAAGACCCTGTCTCAAAAAGACAACAAACAGCTGGGGATTTAGCTCAGTGGGATAAGCACCTACATGGCAGGTCCAGGTCATGAGTTCCATTCCCCGTACCAATAAACAAAGACAAAGACAACAATCAATCAAAAGGAATATGAGGCAGAAAAATGCAATGCTGCATTATTAGGACTGGCAACTTGAAAGTTGAGACCCAGGCTCTTTCAAATCAATGCCTTGCTACAAGGATGTGTGCATCAAAAACACGGGAAATTCTTGGAAAAAAAAAAATACACACTACTACACCACTACTGGGGTCAAGACCCTGACCACATGTAGCTTAAACTTTTCAGGTGAGTTTAACGCACATTTTTGTGGGTCTTTGAAATATGAAATGTCTGGCTTGTGAACTCTTGAAACTTGAAATTCTGTCATCATCTGCTTTAACAACTTAACATAATCATTTGCAATAAACATCTCTAAGCCTGTAACTCTTCATCTATGGCATCTTTGAGTATGCTTTGCTCTTATTTCAATAGCAATCAGGAACACTGACCATTATTCCTTGATCTCAAAATCAGAATTAAGATGGTAGGGCTATTTCCCTCTGAAGTCTGCACTGCTTCAACCTCATTGGTTTTTCATTTATGAGTAAATTTGTTTCAGAACAGCCATTTTCAGGACCTTTTTCTTCTTGCTCAGTGGAGGAAAATAACAAACATACCAGAAACCATTTGGAGAATTTCAGCTCATTTTTGTTTTAGCATGTAACATTTACAAGAGCAGCCTGGTCTTTCCTCTATACATTTGGTTGTTTTATTGGTAAATTATTCACTAACCTCCATTTATTTTGAGTTTGTTACTACATAAATTGGAAAATAATCTCCTTCCTGTACTTTTGTCCTTAATGATCTACAGAGCAGCTTTGTTACTTGTCTAAACATACAGTACTACATTCCACAGCTTCAATGGGTCCTGTTTCTCCTGACCAGGTCATTCCTTCCACTGTTATACTCTTGAGTTTTACTCCACCAACTCTTGATTGTACACTATACTAAAATAAGCCCTTTACTATTCCCATTTGGTGAACTGTCTTGAGACTTTGAACTCACAACGATCCTCCTGCCTCAACCTCCTTAGTGATGAGTTTACATTGTATTTTACAGTCATAAGAGATCATGGATAGTTTTTAAAGAAAAAAATACTGACTTAATTGTGATGGAAAACAAGATGTAATTTAGATAACCAATTTATGATTTGAAATAAAACTTCCTACATTTAACTGACTAAGAGTTTAAGCACAGGTTATAAATGCAAAGAAAAACTGTTTTAGGTTTAAGTGAATTCAGTATTAAGCTTTCAGCTGCAGACGCAGATACAGCAACATTAAAGGGAAAGTTCTAAACACCACCTTTCTCCTAAACTATTGAGAGCTGAGACACATACAAATTTTATGGCAGGTAATCTAAAACTCTTCTAAAAATGATTAACTGTTATTCTATCCAACAAGAAAACCAATACAACAAATCTATCTAATTAGTTAAGACACCAGATACTCTTCATGCAGCTTCAGTGTCTAGTAACAAACCTTTAGACCTCAAAGTTCTGTTTCACAACTTCTCATTGCTAGTCACATATTTTAAAAGGATTGATATCCACTGCAAACTACATATAGAAGAGTACACAATTTTCAAGTGAATGCATATATTAAAGTTTCTCAAGTCTAGTTTTGTAGCATAATGAGAGCCTTCAAAGATATATACTCCAAGGTTATTAGCATAACATTTAAAAATAAAATTTCACATAAGGTGGGACAAATATCATGAACTTTCTGAGTGTTCTATCTCTAGAAAGTTGAAATGCATCAACATGTATTTTTCATGTAATAAATATTGATCAGAGTTGGACCAAGATTATACTTTTATCAGACCAAAAACCCTATTAGAAATTAAAAGAAAAACAAGTAAGGATTTTAGAATAGCTTTTTTTTGTTTTTGTTTTTAGAGACAGAATCTTGCTTTGTTGCCCAGACTGACACCTTGAACTCCCAGGCTCAGCCTCAGTGGCTGGGGTTACAAGAGTGAATCACCATATCTGGCCTTCAGAATGACTTTTTCATTACCATTGAGTTAGTAATAACTGGTTCCTTTTTTAAAAAATCAATTTGGCTTGTTATAGTAGATTTAAGCATTTTTTCTAATCCAAAACAATTTTACTGCAGTTAATAATAAAACTTTTTTTCATATCTGAGCTAATTATCTGACCTAGTAGCTCCAAAGCATTACCAACAAAAACTTGAAAAAAAAAAAAAAAAAAAGTTAAGGTAAGGGGTCAGGGATATAGCTCAGCAGCATAAGTATCTGCCTGGTGAGGACAAGGTCCTGAGTTTGAGTCCTGGTAACAACAACAAAGACCCCCCACAAAACAACAAAAACAAAAACCAGTTAAGATATTCATTGTAACAAAAAAACATACTAACGAAGACTCCTAAGCTTTCATTTTAATATTTCACTTACTGACTGTGTCTTAATAGAACTCTTTTTGATAACAGCACTCCCATGGACCCCAGGCATACCAATGGACTTTATTAAATGCAAGTAAACAGCCTAAATTTTTGGTCACAATGTCACAGATGGCCAAGTTAGAAATAAATTACTGATTATTAAAATGGCTCTTTTACTCATTTATTTGTTACTTGTGCATTTAAAAACTCACTACTCAATAAAGTGTTTTAAAACATGTATTTCAAGTCTCAAAATTAACTATAAAGTATGCTTCACTAAACTTTATAATTCCTACAAACATATGCAAGATTTCTACATATGTTGTAAATGTGTCATCAAAGTCTAAACATTTTACTATTTTTAATTTTTTGGTGCTAGAAATTAAACTTAGGTGCTAAGCACACACTCTGTCATTGAGCTGTAACCCTAGCCCCACAGTTTAGTATTTTTAGTATTTAAAGGGAAATTCAAGTAGAAGATTTTTTGCTGCATTATGTAATTAAAGACAGTAACTTTGATATTTAATTCGCACCGAAAAACTCAAAGCATCTGGTACTTTATCAGTAACTATAATAGTAAACTCTTATTAAAATTCCTGTTTACACACATTAAAAATACTTATCAATTATTACACAGGTAGTAGCATACCTTAAGCTACAATACAGGATCATAACATGGGCTATCCGAAATTCAAGCTACGGTCGCCCAGACAGTTTTAACCTGAGTCTGATTTCTTTAGAAATGTATCTGACAAGAATGTGTGCAAGTAGTGTTACTTTTTAGTAGCAGTTTTCTCTGAATTATTATTAAGTATCTGTGTAAAATTACAAATATTTATTACATTTTTTAGGTTCTCTAAACAGGCAGGTATACGAATTGAAGATTTTTTTTTTGTAATGCAAGCAAATGAAGATGTCTTCTTAGTTCAAAATGCCTTATATGTAAAATTATTTTCGCATTGAATTATTTTAGGGTAAATGTGAAAGGTTAAAGGATTATCATCGATACGTAAATATTCAGAGGAAGTAAACCACGCCCACTTGAGGAATTTTACAAGTTCACTAAAGAATATCAAATTAATAATTTCCTCCTATAAATATTTTCTTTTTATTTTGTTTAGAAGTTGCAGTTTTAAGTACTATTAACAGAAAATAACAAATGCTTCCTAACAAGTGAAAAAAATAATTATAAATGCTGGAAAAATTGGCCTCATTAACATTATTTACAGACTTACTTAATACATACTCCTTTGGAAATTAATTATATGACATTTTTACAAGCATTAACATTTCCCAATCACTGAGCAGGGAGCACTCCAGTTCTTTACTGTTTGTACCCACAGTCGAAAAGTCACTTAGTCCCTAGAAGTGGAACTGACATGCCATAGTCTTTTGGTTAAACTGAGACACTGCTGACATGCTGCTGTTCCATTCGGTCATCTAAAGATGCTTCTGTAGAGGAAGTGCCTTTGTGCTGCTTCCTCTCTTTGCTTTGCTCTTCTTGCAGCTTCAGAATTATGTTTCGGATTTCTTCTCTTTTCGTTCTCATTCGTGGGGGTGGAAACCAGTTTGTCAAATTCATAGGTAACTCAAAATTTAGTATTGGATTCTGAAAATAAAAGGATTACATGCCTATTAAAATTGTAGCAAACTACAATTTCATTTCAAACACAAAAACACTCCAAAGTTTTATCACTACTGATTCACTACCTATAACAAGATAAGCACTATGCTAGGCAATGAAGGTGTAGGACAGTTTCTACCTATAAAACTTATACTCTAAATTAGGGACTGGAAGTCAGGGGTGGTAGTGGGCACCTATAATCACAGCACCTAGGAGACTGAGGCAGGAGAACTGCTACAAGTTCAAGGCCAGTCTGGGCTACATAACGAGTTTAAGGGAAGCCTGAACTATATAGCAAGACCTTGTCTCCAAAATGTAAGTTAAGTAAATGACTAGCAAACTAAAGGTATTAGGTCAAAGTCTGTATGCTGCCTGATTTTGTAGTAAGGTTTTACTGGAACATAGATATACTAGCTCATTTATATATGGTCTACAAATGTTTTTTAACAGTGGAACTGAAAGCAATAACAAAGGTGATAAGGCTGAAAAGCCTTAAAATATTTAGTCTCAAATCTTTTATACCCCTTGTCAGCCCAGGATAGACAAAGATAATTCAGTAAGTCAAACATGAGTATGGCAAATATTATGATGGGAGAAGCATAAAGTAATGTTAAGAGCAAACACTTGGGGCTTAAAACAATCCCAAGAACTTACTTTTAAGCTGAACTTGAAGGAAGAATAAGTGTTAGCCTGCTAAGGAATCACGGAAGCAACAGGGAGTATCAACAAATGTTAAGAGGTAAACCACACTAGTGAATAAATGGACTTAACAGGTTTCTATAGTGTTTCACTCAACAATAACAGAACACACATTTCTCAAGAGTACACACAATGTTTTCCAAAATAGATCATATCACAGATCATATAGCATACCTAAATAAATACAAAAGAACTGAAAGAATCGTCTACATACCAGTGGAAATAGTAAAATCAACAACAAAAGAGACCACAGAAACTACACAAACACATGGAGATTAAATACTGTTATTGAATAATCAATGGATCACAAAAGTCAACAGAGAAGAAATAAGAAGTTCCTAGGGTCAAAGGACTATGGAGAACCAGAGATTCAGCTCAGTGGTGTAAGTGCCTGCCTGGCACATATAAAGTCCTGAGTTCAATCCCTGGTACTCCCCCCACAAAAAGACTATGGAAGTGCAACATATCAAAACATATAAGACACAATGAAAGCAATTCGAAGAGAAGAGCTTATAGCTGTAAATGCACATATAAAAAGAATAGTCCAACCTCATTTAAATCTAAATCTAAGATACAATGTGTATGTACCAATTCCTTACCAATGAATGTCTTTAGTGTTGTAAAAATACTAATTTTTTCAAAGACAAAAAAATGAACTTTTGGACAGCAACTCAATAGGAAGCTACTGTCACATCTGAAGCAGGAAAGCAACATGATTAGATTTGGGGTTTTTGGAAAACTGAAAAATAGGAAACAGCAGATATGAGAATGTGAGAATGTTAAGACACCAGGGTAGTAGTCTAAAATTGTGATGCTCACATACTGGTCTTGGCAACTGAAAGCAGGAATAAGGCAATGTACAACATTTCACATTAAATGATGCAATTCACCAGATACAGTAGTTCATCTACTAAAAAGTGAATGAAGGAGGAAATAGTGAAGATAACTGGAAAGAATATTTAAGAGGAATGTGTGGTCTGTAGTCAAAGTAAGAGAGTGAAAAATAAATGGCCCACAGCAACAAACTGGGCTAGGAGGTCAGGAACAATTTTAATACAAAGCTACGGACAATGCCATATTTTGGAGAGCTGAGATGCAATTAAGATTGGTGGAAAAGGAGACAATAAATATGAATACTTCAAGAAATACATGTATCTGTAAAAGGAAAAAAAATTCATCTGAATCATAGGAGATATCTTGTAAGTGGAAAAAGCCAGTGCAGCGAGTGAGCTGATTACTAATGGAACAAGCTCAACAAATCTGGATTTGGTGACCAGTAAGTATGTATTCTTGACTTGAAAGTTCTCCTGTTTGGATGATTTTGCTCAAGAAATACATATGTGAAGAAGAGAAAAGAAGTTAAAAGAAGAAGACTGAATCACAAGTGAGATCTGTTAATATAGAATAATTTTTCAAACAAGTTTCAAATTCTTTATAGTATTTGCTTATTGTGTTTACATGCAAAATAATGTCAAACACTGTTTTGTTATTTACTAGGTCACAGTTAACAAACAGAAACTCACCTCAAAAAAGCTCTCTACATACTGCAATACATACACACCACAATCACTGAAGTTATTTTGCTGTGGTACTTTTGGATTAGAGCCTTTCATAACATCTTTGGAAAAACTTCTTTTGCTACCTTTTTTAACTTCCCATTCCACTTCTAAATATCTGCAAGAATGCACACATAAATCCACAAATTGCTTTATGTCCACCACAATATGAAACATTTTAAAATGTGAGGTACAACTGTGAACTTACTCTCTTAGAATTTTTACAACATTTGACCGAGAGGGGCCTCTGAGTGAGTCCATAAGTAGAATACAAGGTCTGTGGGGGTAGAAATGACCAAAAATTGAATACCTGTAATGCCAGAAGTACTGAAACATTTAAAGAACAAGGCTCTTCTTGGCTTAAATTTTTTGGGATCTGAGCATCCTCCCTCTTCCTGTGCTGATGCTGAATCCAGGGCTTCATGCATGCTTTGCACATACTGGACTACTGAAGTATGGCCCCAGCTCTGGAGCACATATCATAACTATAATAAACCTCAATATTTTCTTTTATAAGTGGAACTTGCCTTTTAACATCACTTAATAGAATTTCTGCTAACATTACCTATAACAAAGTCAAAGGAGATTAAATCCAGAGAAGCAGGTCATACTTTATCATCTAAATCTGGAGCCTCTGGAGATACATCAAAATATATATGTACTTCTGAAAACTAATCCTGACTCACTTTCATCTGGGGTTTCCATGTGCAAATCAGCCTTCATATAGTAGGTATGCAACCAGTGTCATGGTTGCATGTCAACCAGTCTCATGGTACTGTGCTGACGTAGTTATCTGTTCCCAAACACTATATATAAAAAGAATTGTGTTCACTATTAAGATGTATACACATGTGGATGCAGATGGGAAAACTGGCAAAGGAGGACTGAAATGATCCATTCTCCTCTCTTTGATTCCTGGATATCTGCTTTGCTTTTCCTCATGGAGCTTGACACATTTGTGAATTCTGCTTAAATAAAACTGTCTAGTTATACTTTGCTCTATGAATGTATTTAAATAAAGCTGAATCATGTAATGTACAAGAGATATAGTTAATGCTTACTGTTTACAGATAGTAGGCTTCAAATGCCACTGTCCAATTTCTGAACTGCAGTTGTCATCAGCAAGGAACCCATCATCACTACTATCATCCTATAAAAGACAGCCTGTTAGTATTTACATTACTTAAATAATAATTAATACCTAACAGAATAACAACACCGACAACCAAAATTCTTGTAATGTGAAAAAGTAATTTCTACTTAGGAGATTGACACAGAAAATGTACATGTTACTGGATCCCAACTACCTAACATGGTAACACTGGCGTTTTAAGAAACTACCAATTTACTACAAATTTACTAAAATTATTATATCTAGTCACACAATGTAGAAAAAAGTCTTTGAAGACGAATTCTTCTGTCAAATAGTACTGCTCTGACTTTAGTTTATTTTTATAAAAATTTAACTTGTTGACTAAGACAGCTCTTTCACAATAAGACACTAATAATTTTTTCCATACCAAGAATATTTGAAGGATTTTTGGAAACACTTCTTGACAAAACCATGTATTTACTTGAGAAGACAGTTTAAAAATGTTTTATTCTGTAGATTTTCTTTGTAATATGAGAAAAAGCTTTCTCCAACTTTACTAATGGAAAAATCAATAATATGAACAATCCAATTAATGAATACAGTAAATACAATAGGTAACTGCTATAATCAAAGGAGTTTAAGAATGAATATAGCTGGGCATGGTGGCACACTCCTGTAATCCCAGCACTTGGGAAGCTAAGGCAGGCAGATTGTTGCAAGTTTAAGACCACCCTGGTCTATGAAGTGAGCCCACGGTCAGCCTGAACTACACAGTGAGACCTTGTCTCAAAAATGAAACAAAAAACCATGAATATAACCCTTTAATATCAAATTGAGTATTCCTTATTTTTGGTTTGTTCTTTTTTTTTTTTTTCTTTTCTTGTTTTTGAGACAGGGTCTTGCTATGTAGTTTAGACTGGCATTGAACTCATGGCAATCTTTTTGCCTTAGCCTCCCGACTGGTGAGATTACAGGCATGTGCTGGTATTCCCAGCTTGACTGTCACTTACTTGAAATGCCTGGGCCCAAGTGCATCAGAATATGTACCTAGGGGATAAAGCATTCCTAATCTGAAAACATGAAACCTGAAACTTCTTCAGTGTAATTTTGCATTTCAGATTATTAACGCTCAATCTATGTATGTAGGAGGGAAAAAAAAGTCATATGAAGTAAATTGTCATATGTTAGTCATATGAAGTAAGCTGAAGGAATCACAAAAAAAATGTTTTAAGCGAAAAGGAAAAATCAAAGCCGTTTTCCCTACTATATAAACAACTTGAAGTTTGTTTTAATAACTAAAGAAAGGTCATAACACTAAAATGTGTTGTTCTTATAAACTTTTCTCTTAATGTACCTTAGTTCATAAACTCAATTCTATGATACTGGTTGCAAACCAAACTAGTTAAGAACCAAATCAAACTTCCTCTTAGGGTTAACATTGAGTTTAACCTCTGACTTTGTCAGTTCTGTCCACTTAGTTTGCAACCATAATCATGGAAAGAACTAAGTTCATAAACTGAGGTATCACTGTGAAGACCTCTTTAATAGAAGTTACAAAGTATGTTCAAAAATAGACTCATGTTCAAAACACTTACTAAGGAAAATAAGACTAAGAAAATATTATAATTCACCCTAAGGTTAATCTATGTTAATCAAATATAATCTGCTCCTCCCAAAATATATGGAAATATACCATTTTGTTTACTCATGTCCTATATACTTGAAAATTTAAACATTTTCCCTCTTGAATACTGAAAATTAGTAAGACTGAAAATTATGTATAGCCCAAAAATGCTTTGAAAGAAGAAGCGGAAGAGATGGTGTGCTGGTGGCTAGGTTGGGGCTAGTTTGTTGCGCATTTAAACACTCTGAGATAGTAGAAGAATTCAGTTTCTATCTCATCAATAAAAAGAGTAACAATTACTAATGCATTTGTCCAGGGAAATTATATCTTAAAAACTCAATTTGCGCTCTGAAGACATTAAATCCAAGAAAGTATGACCAATTAAGTATTTGAAGGAATTAGTCACAAGACTCTATAAGGAAAAATTTAAACAAACAAAACAAACCCCAGAACTTTTATCCAGCCATAAGTTTTACCTGGTTATCTTGATCTTCTGAGAAGTCGATGAGTTCATCTTCAAGCATTTTACTACCTTCGGCTGACTCATCACTATAGTTCATTCTGATATTGCTTAAGCCATCTGTATCAACAAGAAGCTTTATATAATAAAAAGGTCATGCCTGTAACTACAGGATATAATACTGAAACTTATGCCAGCAATTACTGACATAGCTAAGATCACAAAATCTACCACGTAATTCTCCAAATACAAAATAAGTTGTTTTAAATACAACCTGGGTTGATGTATCAATTATAGAATTATTTCAACTGAAGCCCTGCATCCATTAAAATTAAAAAGCCAGGTTATCAAGCTGTATGATTAAATATATGTATACTTAATTACATATATTATAAGTAGGTATTTGTTATCAGAAACATACTATTTAAAATAATCAAGCATATTGGTAAATCTTTTAATACAAATAACTTCTTCAATTTCTTTTTCAAAAACCTGTATTTTTATGTTTTTTAAAGTCAAAATATTTGTTGGACTAAAATCTCATCAAAATCCTCAGTTAAGAGTCAAATCCAATGAAGTATTTCTTGTAGTAAATAAATCATTCCTATTCACAGAAAGTGAATTATAAAACTACCTATCTTGCACCAACTAAACTATTTGTGCCCTTTAAGAACAAGGGCACAAATCTCAGCACTCGGGAGGCTGAAGCAGGAGGATCTTTGCAAGTTCAACACCAGCTTGGGCTACAAAGTGAGCTCAAGGGCAGCCTGAACTGCATAAGGAGACCCTATCTCAAAAATACAAAAAATGAGAACAATTTAAAGGATGTAATCAATTCTCCCCATTATTTCCCTGAACAAACAAATGGCCTGAGGTAAATGGAGAGGTGACCACTCAATTTTATTTGTTCTTTCAGCATCAGTTCTTCAGTTTCTCATGGAGTGAGAAGCTCTGAAGATGCTGCACGTCATTTTGAAATTTAAAAAGACACATTTTTTTAAATGTATCCTAGCAAGAAAATCAATTCCTAAGGTATCTAATGAGGAAACACACACACACACACACACACACACACACACACAGCACACACATAAACCAAGTGAGAGCAGTGATACCATGTTATTATTTTCCTATAGCTGACTTTAAAAGCTAATCTCTGGGATAAGATATCACTACATTTATTTACTACACAGCAGTAGTGGTGAACCTATTGTGTGTTATTTTTCTAAAGATTTTAATGTATCAGTTGTTTTTTAAAATAACAACTTCCTGGGGGCTGGAGATTTAGCTCAGCGGTATAAGCACCTGCCTGGCAAACATGAGGTCATGAGTTCAATCCCCGGTACCAAAAAACAAAAACAAAAACAAAAACACAAACAAAAAAACCTCAGTTCTATGATGCTGGTTGCAACTTCTAGTTTAACTGCAGTGTTGGCACTTTAAAGTAAGTAAGTGGGTTGCAGTTTGGGCACATGTCTCTAAAATGTTTGTCATCACTGCTATGTAGCATGTTACCTGATACTAGTAGCCAGTGTTTGTAACTGTATGTATTTGATAGTTAAAATTATGTTACAAGTGCTTAAAATACATCACTTAAATCCTGCTGATTACCAGCTCAAACAGAAATTAATTCCAGAAGTATTGGTCAAGTCACAGAAATCATCACAAATCTCTCACCTTAGCTTCTAACATGTCATTATCACATTCAGGACCCACTTGCCTAGTGATCCTTTCTAATGTGGTAAAAGCACCGGTAGAGAGCACTCTCAGTTAAGGTCCTTTGGCTCAGTCATCTCTTAGAAACATCTGGTAAAGGAGGCTCACTAAAAAATGCATAGACCCATGTTGTAGAAGAGCAAGGCTATCATTACTGGAAGAATATAAAAGTATCCACACTACTCCACATATAAAAATGATGCTTTGTAAAACGTTTGTTTCAGGAAGCCAGGACTGACATGGCTAAACACATACTGTCATGGCTTTTATCCAGATGATTCCCCAAAATCTCAGTTCTCACAGGTGGGGCTTCTCAGAGAGATGGTTCGATCTGTAGTGTGTGAATATGCATTAAGGGTGTGATAATTAAATTAGTCCACTGACTGGCTTAGCAGGTTCTGGATGTGGACAGTGGGAAGGTCCACCCTTGATGTGAATGGTTCTACCCCTAGATGGGATAGAAGGGAAGGCTGGGGGAGGAAAGGGAGCCTTGCTGCTGTCCTCTGTCTGTCATGCCATAAACTCAATGTCATCCTGCCAGAAAGCCAGCTGACTATGGACTGAAACTTCTATAAACTAAGTTCTAATAAATCTTTCCTCCTTTAACTTGTGACTGTTGTGTATTCTGTCTCAGCAATGAGAAAATGATCAAGACACATACTAAAAACAAATGTACAAACTGTAATAAAAAGATTAATAGGATAAATAGATGTTAGTATAACAAATTACATATAAAGCAAGTTATTTTTTACTTTGGTTTCCACTAGAGTTTTGAGACTATCTCCTCAAATTTAATAGGCCATTTATTCAACCAGAACATTAATTTGTATAAATGAGTACTAGTTATCTCTAGAGTTTCTGTATAGAAAGTCCAAAACTTTGTCCCATTGCTTTAGGTCATACATTTTATTTCTTATCTGAATTCACATTAAGGGGCTTAAGTATATTAACCAAAGGAAGCCATTTTCTTTTCTTTTTTTGGATGCTGAGGATCAAACCCAGCGCCTTACTCTAGCATTTACATTATGTCACGTAATACTAGTAATCCACAGATGCTTTAGTGAATGGGAGGACATGCACAGTTTATATACAAGTGCCATTATTATTATTATTTGGGTCTTTTTGAGACAGGGTCTTGATATGCAGTTCAGGCTGGCCTTGAGTTCACTTTGTAATAGAAGCTGATCTCAAACTAGTAATGTTCCTCTTGCCTTAGCTCCTGAGTACTGGGATTATAGGCATGTGCCATCACACTCAACAAAAGGTATCTTTTTTTTGTTTTTGGTACCAGGGATCAAACTCATGACCTCATGTTTGCCAGGCAGGCGCTTATGCCACTGAGCATATACTATTTTTTATCTGGACCTTAAGCATGCATGGATTTTGGTATTCCTGAGGGAATGGGGAATCTGAAACCAATCTAACTAAAGGACAACTGTATATCCACATGTGTTTACAACTATTATCACAACCATTTTTTTCCCCAGAACTGACAATGGAATCTTGAGCCTCACACATGCTAGGCAATTGGGCTTCATATCCTTAGCCTCCACAATGTATTTTATATTTTTGAGACAGCATCCTACTACTTAGTTCAGACTGGTCTCAAACTCACTATGTAGCCCAGGCTAGCCTTGAACTTTGAAGCAATTTTCCTGCTTTAGCCTCCCAAATTATGAGATTACAAGTGTGTGACACCATGCCTAGAAACCCACAATCTATTTTAAAACTTCAAAAAGAAAGCTGGGCATGGTGTTACATGCTTGTTGTGATTTAAGACCAATATGGGCTACACAGTGAACTGAAGGCCAGCCTGAACTGCTTAGCAAGACCCTGTCTCAAAAGACATCAAAACAAAACAAACCTCAAAAAGAATAAATTTCATACCCTTTACCATCACTTGCTTCTCCCCACATTCCTACCCATTTCCTTGTTCTTGGCCCCCAGAAACCATAAGCAGTTACTTTACTGTTCTGGAGATTTTATACAAATGATTAGGTTTTTTTCTACTCAACTATTAAAATTCTAAACTCAAAAAAAAAATTTACAGGTAAATATCTGACTAATTACCTACTTTGCATGCCTGTATTTTATTTCCTACCTAATGAAACAGATTTGAAAATGGCCTAGAAAAGTGTTTATCTGTGTGGCCTTCTGCTATGTCTGCTAACACTTCACTTTACTACTTTATCTCTCTCTAAAGATCATTACTTTAGGGCTAATTATACCTTTATGCAACAAAGTATGGTTAACAAATCAAAATAATCTTACAACAGCTTTCTGATTCACTAAAATCATGTAAGCTGGGAGTAGTACCAAAAGTATGTTCAATATTCATTATCTTCAATAGTTTCTTTCTGAATCCACATGATTTCTTCTATGGTCTATACCAACTCTTCTCATCCAAAGAAAATGTGTTGTGCTTGCTTTGGCAGCATATATATATAAAGAAAATGCATTAAGTGCTTAAGTCTGCATAAGATACATACTATAGCATGTGAAACAGTTTTAAGAAGTAGACTTAAAAATATTTTTAAACTAACACATAATACTTGTATTTTGGGAGCTAGGAATGTAGTTCACTGGTAGAGAATCTACCTAATGCATAAAGCCCTGGGATTGATTGCAACAATGCAAAACAACAGCACAGACACTCCCCACTCCAAACTTTGCACATATTTATAGACTATCTTATTATGTTTTGATAATTATGTAATGTTCAAATTCAGGATATAAACTATTTTATTTGTGGACTGGAGAAAAAACTTATACCACTGGCTTGATGTCAAATTTAAGAATCTGAAAAAAATTTCCTATTTCTGTAACAGATGCTAGAAATATGAAGCTGATTCAAAGAAAATCAATGTATTAGAAATGAAGAATCAAAAAAGCAGAAGTGAGAGTGGTGCTCCTCATTGTACTGAGAACAGTATGGACAGTGAGGAATGAAGACTTAAACTTCTTTTTTTTCGTCTTTTTCCTTTTTATAGGTACCGGGGACCGAACTCACGACTGTCTGCTTGCAAGGCAGGCGCTTATGCCACTGAGCTAAATCCCCAGCCCTGAAGACTTAAACCTGATGGAAGACCATGCAACTACTTGTTTATTATGAATACAAAGATAAATTCAAGTTCTTATAAACAGAAAATGTAAACCACGCATAGGATGACTATTCCTTTATTTGAAATACTTGCAACTAGAACTGTTTTAGTTTGTAGATTTTGGAAAATATGAATATACATAAGGAGTATCTTGGGGATGGGATCCAAGTCTAAATAAAAACTCATCTGTTTCACATTTATCTCATATACACAGCCTGAAGATAATTTCTAACATTTTTAGTGTGTCTGCATTTTGACTGGAATCTATCGCATGAAGTCAGATGTGGAATTTTCTACGGATTGTATGTGTTGGTGGCTGAACAATTTTCAGATTTTGAAGCATTTCAGATTTCCAACTAGGAATGTTCAACCTGTATTACAGTTTCAAGTTTCTATTTCTAGTGATGAGGGGGGAAAGACTGACTACAAAAGGGGCAAAAAAGTTTCTTTGGAATGATACAAAGAGCTGAAATTCTTGTAGTCATTCCATGATTATGAACAACTGTAACTCAACCTATACCCATGAATGAATGTCACTGTAAGTAAATTATACTTCAATAAAGGTGACCTCAAAACAAAAACTGTGTAATCTTTAAAAGTTCTAATTTAATTTATCTTTCAAAACACATGAGTACATACCTGGATGATGCACAGAATTGAAACATTCATCCTGCAGCCCATTTTCACTTTTAGTCCTATCCACAACTTTCTGGCATGAAGATTCTCCTTTATTTGACTCTTCATTTTCACTTGCAATATGATTTATTTTTTTCACAATGCACATGTTTCTCTGATCACAAGGGTCGCTTTGTTCCTGTCCAGCACTGGAATCTGTTACAGTGAAGCAATGCTTTCTGGTTAGCACTTTCTTGATGACAGGCTTGGCAGCAGTCTGTGAGCAGCTGTCCATTTCACTGGCAGAAGGAGGACCACAACTATCCTCGGCAGTTGAGTTCTTTTGTATGACTGCATTTTCATGGTAATGAGGATTAGGTTCATACTTTGGTTTTTCTAAACCAGGGAAACAAACAACAGCCAAAAACCAGTGGGCACTGTAAAAAACAAACAAAACTACTAAATGTATTTGAAAAAGTAATTGTAACTGGCAATGAATATCAACTGAAATGTTTTCGCTAATATTTTTTGTGAGCAAACTTATTAACAGTGCTTCATTTTCCCCGATTCTCAAATTTCTTATAATTGTTCTCACCTCTTTATATGACCACTGATATAACAGAATACAGTACTTATTTAAAATAAAGTTTTGTTAGAATTAGATCGCCTTCATTAACTTTGAAAAAAAACTTGCAAACTTTTTTGCTTTTATTATTATCATTACTTTTACTTTTGTGTCTGTTTTTCTCATTCACAAAGGAGATGAAAAGGCAGCATTTTGCAGCCTTTTTGGGACCTGCAATTGAGACACCTGCAAAACAAACTAGTTGAAAAGGAAAAGCTCCAGAAATCAAGAAAGAGTTGACAGAAAAACCAAAAATCAAAGAAACAGGAAAGGAAGAGAAACAAATCGTGGCTCCTGAGGAGGAGGTCCTGCCTGCTAAGACAAGGTAACCCCAGAGAGAATCAGCAGAGCCAGAGAAAAAAACATGGCTGGCAGTGCTAGTCCAAAGAAAAGGCCACAGTTATAAAGCTGTAAATACAGGGGTGGGGGCTTAAAAAAAAAAAAAATAAAGTTGTAAATACAGTGTGGGATTTTACTCTGAAAATTATTCCTTGTGCACAGCAGGCTAGAGGTAGAGAAGAAATTCACTGCAGTGCCTGTATTTGGGAGTGTTTAATCAGGAGCCATTAGGGAGGACATTAATGTTTTAAGACTCAGCTATTCCCAGCCCAGAACTACACTTGAGAGATTTCGTGGTCACTGGTTAATTCTTTCGTTTTTTTTTTTTACTTTTATCTACTTCTATTAAGTCTTTCATTCTCTTAACTAGATTCTTTATGTCACTTTTCTTTCCTCATCCTCACCTTTCTATTCTTTTTCAAATTTTATTTTTTAATTTTTCCCTTTCTTCACCGCTCCATTTTTGTTTTGTTTTTGAGACAGGACTCTGTGAAACCCAGACTGACCTTGAGCTCATGGCTATCCTCTTAGCTGACTGAATGCAGGGAGCATAGGCATGTATCACCAAACCCCTCCATTTTTATATCACTAGTAACCTGTATTAAGTTTTAGATATTGAGTCTATACCACTACTGCTGAATGCTGTTGTCAATAATGGTAGTATGTCAACATTTGATTTGCCTCTGTATCTATATTATTAGTATAGATCGTTTCTCTGTTATTTAAGGGTAGATCAGTGAAAGCTTTTATGGGTTCTTATGTATGCCTCTATCTATGAATTTCTTCACTATGGCCAGAGGTAGGATAATTATTGCTATTAACTGGCTTTTACAGTGTGCCAATATTTGGTTTGTCATGTATTATCAACATGATGGTGGTTTGTTTTCTCCATTCTGTGTGTGCTGAGTATGAAGCTCCCTGAAAAAGGTTGGATACAAAGTGGCCCTCAAATATAACACTGAGTAGACTGGGGAGGAATGCAAACACTAAAACATAAACACAAGCATGCATTACAACAGTAACAGATTTTAATTAAAGATACTTGCAGAGTGGCGATAGTGTTTCTACTTTATCTGATCTTCAATCTGCACTACAAAAATGACATGAATATAAAAAGAAAGGCAACAGATACTTCCTAAAATCCTTAACTCCCCCAGTACACAGTGAAATGAAGGAAATTACAAAGAGCTTGCAAACAAAAATAGCCAAGAAGTTTGAAGAGCTGAATGAAGAAACAAGTAAATTCATATTTAGTGAGCTTAAAGATTTTACTAAACAGGTAGAGAATTTTACAAATAAAACGTGCAATTCGTTTGAAGAAACACACTAATTCAGTTATACAAAACAGTACAATAGACTTCCGGGAGAATATGGCGGACAGATAGCAGCAGCTACGGAAGCTCTCTGAAATACCCAGCTTAGAATTCAGGAATGGTGCTGAGTAAGGAATCATAAGCAAGAGGAGATAGGCCCCGGTGATCCAAGAATGAACTGGGCTGAGAGAAACCAACTGGGAATGCAGTCCTGGTGCTATAATAGGAACAGATAAAGCCTCAGCGTGGAAGCTGGAGGCCGCGCCATTGGAAGCCGTGATTTGGGATTTGGGTTTCCCGCTGCTGCCACGTCTGCATGGGCTCGGCAGGGAGAAAGACGCGCGGAAGCTCTGAGAACGGGAATCAGTGAACGGAGTTGAGAGCGGGACAGGCAGGGAGCCGTGCATCCACCTCCGGTGAGTGAGGGAAAACTAGGTCTCTTCCCCACGGTCTAGGAGACTCCAACAGAGGACATTTTGGGACCGAGCAGACTTGCGGGAACAGGGCGCTGCAGTGACTTCAGTCACCAATCCGCCTCTCAAGCGGGATTGGTGAGCAGTGCCTAGCCCACGTGACGCTACTGTTTGAGACCCAGTAGGCTAGCACAGCCCAGGTCCCAGCTCCTGAAGGTAGATTGACCTGGAGGGGCGGCCCCGCATAGGCTGCCTGGTCTGCAACTTCCTGGTGCGCTGTGGTGGGTGGGAATACCTAGCCGGCGCAATTCTCAGACTGTGGCTGACAGGGAAGGAAGCTGGGCCTCCTATATACGCTTGCATATATATATAAGGAACAAAGAATATGGGAAGAGGCAGCAACAAGAAAGGGTCCTCAGCCCCTAATCCTGAGAAAGAGGCAACAGCAGACACAGCACCAATAGACATAAAGTGCTATCTCGAGAGCCTCATAGAAAAGTTCAGGAATGAAGTTATTAATGACCTGAAGCTAGACATAAGCAGAATAGTTAGAGAAATGCTAAGCACCACCCAAGAAAAAACAGATGGTGGAATGGAAGAACAGAAAAAGAGGGGAGAATTGTTTAATGGAGAAAATAGAGAAAGCATAGAATATGTGAAGCAGGTTCAAAGAGAATACCAGGAAACTAAAAAGTCTATCAAAAACTGGCATAACAGCTTGAAAGAAACTAAGGACAGATTATCTGAACTGGAGGGCAGATTTGTAATATGGGAGCATGAAACAAAAAACTTCTTAAAAATAACAAAGAAACAAACAGCAATAATACAAAGACTAGAAGATGATAAGAGGGTCTATAACTTAAGAATTAAGAACATAAAAGAAGAAGTAGGGACACAAACAAATGAACTACAAAAGCTACTCACAGAAATAATCCAGGAGAATTTTCCTAATTTAGCAAAAGGTAAAGATACTCAGTTGTATGAAGCATACAGGACCCCAGCCACCTACAACCCAAACAGAGCAACACCCAGGCATATAATAATTAAAATTCCAGAAATCCAATACAAGAACAGAATACTAAAAGCCGTCAGAGACAAGAAACAGATCACTTACAAGGGAACACCCATCAGAATTACAGCAGACTTCTCGGCACAAACCATCAAATCACGAAGAGCGTGGGGGGAAATAATTCAAGCTTTGAAAGTTAATAATCTCCAGCCAAGATTCATATATCCTGCACAACTATCCCTGGAAATTGATGGAAACACAAGGTGCTTCCAGGATAAAGAGGAACTAGGGGAATATGCAACCACAAATTCAACTCTACAGAGAATACTGCAAGATATTCTAAAAAAGAAAAATACAAAGAATCCAGAAGTAGCGGCAGAGAGGCCACAATGAATGGAGCAGAAAACAAAATGAAGAAGACAAACTGACAACTAATGACAGAAAAAGAGCTCAACAGAAATGAGGCAGAGAAGATTGGATGATAGGAACAGCTAGTTTGGAGAAAATGACATCTTAAGGGGTAATACTGATTTAGTATCATCTTGTTTTGAAGTCTCATCAAGCTTTTGTTCTTCTGTCTCCATTGGTCTAAACAGGTGGTATCTTATTGGATTTTATTATATATGATAGTATAAGCAAAAGCTTTTATAGACAAGGAGATTATACAGAAACCATTGTTTATTTTCTGTTAGTTGATTCTAAATACCTGTTATACTGTCATTCTCTTGAGTGGTTTTACATTGTTTTGATATATTTGATGCTAAAGAATACAAAGTTATGCTCAAAGATTTCAAAGAAAGACAATATGGTAACTACTTTTATGTCGGGATAATCTGGTGGTGAAACACTATTTTGCTTAAATGGTTATGTTTTGATCTGCGCTGATTTGCTGTTATGCCCTCTTTTATCTCAATCTCCATTTTATTATTTACTGTTTTTATCCTTTTAATTAAGGGAAAAATAAATTAAAAAATAGCAGGATATATTATAGTAACCTACTTTGACTTTCCATTATCTTGATTTAAAGCCCTGTATGGCTCTCACCATCTTGTTTTGACTGATGTTCCTCTATTCTGTTTTGCTTGATAGTACCAGGTTCAAAAGTTTAGGCAACAGCTGTGAAGATAGTGGGATTCATTGTGACGCCCATTCTGGTTGACTATTATCTACTTTTGAAGACCTATAATGTCTCCAATGTTTGGTTTTGTTCTTTACTGTTTTGTTCAATTTTATTATAACTAATGATATAGGCAATTCTATTAGAGATAGCAGGAGGCATTATGGTAACCATGGTTGATCACCTAGTATTATGCTTTTACAGTATCTATTATGTCCACCCTTTTGATTTGACTGACTGTTCTGTTATGTCACATTTGATTCTATTCTCTTCCAAAAAAGTAATAAGAACTGTGGGAGCAACAAACCCCAAAATGTGTAACTGTCATTGTACAAAAGAGAGGAAAAGAAAGTGCTCTAAATGATATAACTGCATGTATATTTAAGTGTATAAGACAGATAATGATATTACTGAGTTTTGTTGGATCATTGAACAGAACTCTTTGCAGTCTCACTGTTGGAATGTCCACTTTATAAGCTTTAATTTTGTAACTTGAACAATTGTTTCTAAGATGACAAAATGTAATCCATTAACTAGTGATTTCCTACTGTTTTATTTTTTTCTGTAAATCTGTATAACTTGTACCCTTTCTCTGCTTTTTTTCTTTTTCTCCTTAAATAA